ATATATATGATGTCTGCACTTGATAAATGCTGACTAACTAAGATAGATACACTTTGATTAAAATAGTAATTGGAAAAAAAGGCATTTTAAAATCTTTACATTGTGTACCTAATTTCCCTCTGGGATCAATAAAGTATTTTTGAATTTTTTTAATTGAAAAATGTTGCATTATATAGGTAAATTAATCAGTATTGAATGTCAAAATTACAATAGATCTAAGACAGTTCAGGTATATCTGTGGTACTTTATGCAGACCTAATGGATTCAGGATTAGGATTAGCTAGAAAAACACACCCATTAGGGGGAGATACCTAATTTTCCCACACTTACTTTCTTCTCCGATTATCTGTCCATATTATCACATCACTTCCTTCTCTAAAGCTATTCTTGCTATTGACATTCTCTATGACCCTCAAACTATTTCAAGGTTAAAGGGTGACTTCTTGCAGTATAAAGCATACTCCTAATTTTCTCTACCAATCATCTGCTCTTCCCAACTTTACTGTTCCCTAATCTCCTTGTGTCTATCTTGGCCAAACTTCAATCACTGTTCTATCTACAGTAGTTTGTTTCAAGTCTTCCTCTTGTTGTCCCAAATATCCTCTATTTCCCTCTCCTGCTGTCTCCATCTCCACAGGTGGCGTAGTTGATACAGACCAAACTGGAGGATTCTGGTTGTTAATTATCACTCTGCGAACTGTCTCCACTGACAGTTTGTCCTTTTTCCTCATTTTCCCCTCCTTATCCCATCTAACTCCAAACAAATTCCCCACAGAGTTAAAAAAGAGAATATTTTCATAATTAATCAACAGGGTTCAGCTCACTTTCATCAGTCTTTACATTTTGTTTGTCCTCAAGGCAGATTGAGTAAAAGGGAACTGAAACAAGGGTATCAGGAGATAAAAAAATGCTGGCTGAGAAGTTACAAAACAAACAAATATTAGTGTGTGCTCACACACTAAAAAATGTCCTCACTGCAGGGAAAATGCTGCAAGGGGAAATTTGAAGAAAGCTTTGTGTATAATAAACGAGAAGGAAGCTGGAAGAGATATGAGAGCCTGCAGAAGGACAGCCCTGCCTCTTTCTGACAGTCACAAACATGCACGTGCACACAAGCAACAAATACAACAATACACACCTGCATGGAGGTGGTAATTTCCTGCAGAGCAGCATCTGCCTCCTGTTGTTTAGTTTTCAGCAGTGTACTCTGCTCTGCAGCCCGCCTCTTCAAATCATCAACCAAAGCTTTAGCTTCATTCAGCTTCGACACCCCTGCCTGTAAACACAAGTCAATGCAGCTTGGGGCAGATCTAATATATAAGTAACATCAAGGACTGCAAAAGAAAAGAGTCACATTTGAATGCTTGTAAGTTATAATCAATAATTAAAGACATATCTAAAATGTGTAAAAATTATATTTTGTCAAAGGAATGAACAGATTGGTCAGATGGTGACAGAAATAACATCATTTTCAGCTTGAAAGGCCGGACCAGTCAATATAAAACTTGGCCTATAATTTGTGACCAGAGGACAAAATTACACTAAATAGGGATTATAAAATTGCATTATAAAAATAAAAAAATGAAAAAAAGTCAAAAACTACATCAGGAAAAATTATTGCTTCAGTAACTTTAAAAGTATGAGTAAAAACAAGCATAACATTTGATTACAGAAGTTACAACTTCATATTTTGCAGCACATCACAATCAATTATTCAATTAAATAAACATTATTCTTACTTCTTTGGTTAAATGTATAAGTCAAGATTAAGAACAGAAGACAGCAGTGGGATTTTTTTTCTTGGTGAATATGCACCGTTTAAAAGCGTCCTGCTGACATTTTACCTGTAGATGTAGCTGTCTTGTAGTAAGCTGGCTTTGCTTCCGGCTGTGTATCGCAGTGTAGACGTGCAGAAAGGCCAAGTACTGGCTCGGGGTTGCACCATGTTCCCTACATGACTCATGCACAGTTAGGAACAAACGGCCAAGTTCTCCAAGATCAGATCCTGCAGAAAGCCAAAAATACAAAAAAATTGTTAAGGCAAAGACTGATTTAAAAATATATATTCAGTCTCATTACAATGAACTGGGGCAACTCAAAGTAAACAGTAAATAAAAAAGAAAATTCTATTGTTATTAAAAAGTATGTTCAATGTTGAAAAACAATAGTTCACAGATGAGCAGTCTAATTAGGCTGGAAATGATCTCACCTCAAAGCAGTCACAAATCTCTAGAATTTCACCTCTACTCCTACCTGAGTTTTTCTGCTTAGTGGCCTTCTCTTTTTCACTCTCCTCTCCTCCTCCTTCTGTTTTCACCAACAGTAATTCAGGAATCTGATGGTCACACATACAGGTTTTACACACACAGAAAGTCACCATTTACAGCATAAGCAGCACTGACACAATGAATCAGTTGATTTGTTAAACTGACAGGACAATAGAAAATTTTTGATCTACTAAGTGATACTATTTCTTTGGAATTACTGAATATCCTTTGAATTTACATGCATTCACAGCAGAGTTATTGTAACTTTTTTCAAGTCTGGACTATATGACGTTCTTTTTAAAATCAGCTTCCTCACTCGACTTTTTGAGCTTTATTAATAATTAGTTTGAAATGTTTCTTTGCATCATGCAACTCGTGTTTGTTGTTCTGCACAGACCTTCTTCATGCTGCTGTCAGACCATCCTTCCATCCACTGGACAGAACATTTGCGATAAAAGGCTGGGTTGCTTTCACAGTTGATAGTGAAGTTAGAATTAGAGCAGTCCATGATCAGGACAATGTGGAGGTTCTGTTGGATTCCTGAATAATAAATTTAGAAAAAAAAAAACAATTGTGACTGAAAAACAAAACAAAACAGCAGATTCCCTAACCCTAATATACAAGAGTGTCAATCTAATGGGAGAGTTTTTGTGCTTCTGATACTGTCCCAGTTTCACATCGTACCTCCCACTAAATTGGACAGTGTAAGTGAGCTGGTGGCTCTTTGGGTGGCAAAGAGACAGTAATAAGACAGTAATAGTAGTAGGTGACAGTAATAATATACGTAGCTATTGATTTGATTCGCCTCAATTTCAGAGATATGACATCATATCTGCAGCCCACAATGCTGCACAGCAGGGAGGCAGAAGAATAGAACCAGATAAAATCAAAGAAAAGAACATATTTGGAAGGGAAGTTCCATTTATCTCATGGATTTACAGTGAGAAGAGGAATGATACATAACTTGTACTTTATTCAAATATGTTAAAAATGCTGAAACAGTGAAGACAAAAAGAAATGAAAACTATGCCGATGACAACTAGAGAAATTATTTTCTCCGTGAATGAAAATACAGTGTGAGTGCTGAATGGCTGCTGAAATTTGCTGATAAGGCTGAAACTGACCAGTTCAAGCAAAGAGAACAGAAGTTAAGGATCAAAACACAATGCTACTAAGAGCAGAAACCTAAAATGAGAGCAGAAACACTAAATGGAGAAATAGGGTAGCTATAAGCTTAAAGTAGCAAACAGCTTGCTAAAGGTTAGCCTTTTGCATAAAGGTGGCTAAAAGTTCAAAGTAGCAAAAAGTCAGTTAAAAGCTGAAAGACACAGCATGGCAGATAATAGCTAAAAGTAGCAAAAAATAGCTACAACTATAAGAAGCAAAAGGCTAACTAAAAACTAAAGATAAAAAATGTTAAGCTAAATGTAGCTAAAGACTAAATAAACAATAAAAGCAACTGAATAGAAGCTGGAAGCTAATAGCAACAAAACAGTATCTAAAACTTCAAATTAGCAAAAGACTAGTTAAAAGCTAAAAGCAACAAAACAATAGGTACAAGTAGAAAGGCTGAATTGGCATTCAAACAATTAAATTGCACTCACTGTAGGAGAAGTAGTCGTAGAGTGGCCTTGTGAATCCATCCTGGGAAGCAGAATCTTTCAGTGACGAGAGTAAAGGCTCTAGTTCCTCTGGGCTGTACAAACCCGGAACTTCACCTGGAAGAAAAAATAAAAATAAAACACCCCTTAGCTACTGAATATGTTTGATAAAATTTTAAATGTTGTTTAAATTGTTCCTTCAAATCTGAAAACATTCTAGTGATGATGGAAATAGAGGTTCCTAATCATAAACATTGAGCAGTTCTATGATTTTAAAACGTTGCTCAGATACAGTTAGCTTTTAGAGTAAGGAGTAGTTCAGTGTTTTTGAAATTATTATTGAAGCTAAGGTCCACCAAGTCAAAATTGGCGGTATAAAACTATTGATACATCAACAACACACACCTGATGATAACAGGCTGTTCACCATCTCTAAGAAAGCTGGGTGGACAAATTGATAATCCTCCAACAGTAAAACCACCTGTTGGCCCTCCAGACCTGCCAGCTGCATCACCTGACCAAAAAACAAACATACATCATACATGAACAACATTTGATATTTACTGTATATTTATACAAAACTAATTCAAGAATAATTACTTCCGTCTGATGTTAAAAACAGATGGTGTTCAACATTCACATTTAAACAGATAAACACACATCACAGTGATTAAACAGGGACAGAAACAGCTTGTAGATATTGCCTGGATGCTACCTTTTTCCAAATAAATAAGCTCATTCGAAAACAGCTTTCTACTTTATTACTGCGAGGATTAATGTGAACCGCCGACCAATGAGTATTTCTCACCGTCTTCAGATCATTGCTGAAATGCTTAAGACCATAACTGCGGGAGATTTTGGGTGTGAACAGCGTGTAACCATGCATATGTGACACCAGGCATGTGGTTGTGTGTCGGCCCACTCCACTTCGTCCCGCCAGGAGCAGGGAGCCACCGGGTCGACTCAGGACTCGATCCACCCTGGCCACAAAGTCACACACTTCCCAGAACAGGAGAAGGTCCAACTCTTTGTTGTCACGACTATACAGAACTACCCCCTATCAGAAGCAAAAAGGGACGATTATTAAGAAAATAAGCATAAAACATATCCAAAAATAGTAAAATATATGAAAAGTGCCAACCAATAATAGTCTTTAAAGTAATAATTTGCATTTTTTTAGGTTTTGAGGACAGGTTATGGACAATTGTTGTCTTACCTGTTGTAGAAAGATTATTTTAAATCATTCCAATTTGGAGAAAATCTGCTAAATTCTGACTGGATTAATATGCTAATAGTTAGTCCAAGCTGTGCAAAGAAAGGTGTACTGCTGTTGACTTAAAACAACTGAAAACAAAAAATAGCAGTTCATCCAAACAGTTTGTTATAAACATTTACATTGAAGTTATTTTGCATTATTACATTATTTCAATTGAGACATTATATTTCTGTCAAATCAAATTGTTGAAAGAGCTATCTACAACTAGCCTAGCCCTTGCCTTCCTACACAGTTCCGCTCATTTCTAGTTTTGCTTCAATGCTCCGTCTGGGATTCCTCCCATAGACAAGGATTTCTTCTGGAGAATTTTCGTCTGGGCCAATCAGAGAACAGAACGTTAATTTTCTGCGCAGTGTCTGCTAGTTAGTTTAGCATACGGCAGTGGATGAAGCAGTCCGGGTTGATAAGGCTTCCAAATTAAAWTAAATTTGTCTGACAAAGCAGCAGCCCTCATTTACAGTCGTCTCGTTCGGCTCGGTACTTCTCTTCTCTCAGTAGGGTTGTTTACAGCGCACACGATTTCCGGTTAGCTTCTTAGCTTAACCTCCTTCACAGTGGAGCTGGCACTTGCAGCCAACCGATCCAATCGTTTTAAAGTTCAGCAGAGGCCACACCTCCAGAAACAATCACTTCTCTATAGCCGAGAGTCCAGACCCTCGTACGAAGCAAAGTGAAGGACAAGGGTCTGGTTTTTACCAGGCTAATCTACAACAGGTAAGATATTAATAGTTCAAACCCTATCCACACAACACCACTTCAAAAGTTCTGAACTACTACTTTAAAGGCAAAAGTAATAATGATGATAATTCATGTTTACAAATACCAAACAATTGTAAAAAATAAATGTCTAAAACAAAAACTTTTATTACACAAGTCATACTCTTCAGCTGTTTTATAACTATTGTATGACAGAATAAACCAGATTAAACAAGAACACACACCAAACTGTTCTGTGAGCATAAATACATATTTATGTGTGTACTGGTAATTCCAAGGTAAGAACAAGGCCACCCTTCCTTACTGCTTACCTTCTGTATAACTTGTTTTAAATCAGCAGAATCCAGGCAACCCAGTTGTTTACCATGTGGGGGCAGAAGCTGGCCTGGAGCCATTACAGCTCCTTCAGATGCTCCCCATGTCACATAGAAACCGTCTTCAAACAGAAAAACATTTTACATGCTATTAGTATCACATGTGTGACTAGCAAATGACAAAAATATTAAGAGTACATTTATAAGCAGGATATGCATCTAAATAGCCCAGAGGAATGTTTTGAACAGATTTTAAAATAACAAATAAGACCCATAATTCTTGTATAACTTATATGTAGCTCACACCGAGAGCCGGGTATAGCAATGAATTTTACCAGCTCCAACTACAATTTATATCTATTTGACAACATCTCAAACTTGCAATAACTGGAAATGAATTCAGCTTTTATCACAAGCTGGTGAGCTGATATTGTTCATCAGAAGATATAAAATATTACAAATCACTCAGTTTGCTTGCAAGTTGTGTAATTTGAATCATTCAAACCAACAGGGAAATAGGAAAAAAAAAGTCATTAATGTCATCCTTGTTTACAGATTGTAAACAGACCATTAGCAGAGAAATTGCCAAATGCAATGCCATATGCAGAGATGTCACAGAAGCTCTGAGGTAATCTATTACAGTTTCCCTTCAGGCATGAGTGGCACTCTGTAAATGCTGACAGGAACTGCTTCAAGAGAGTCATCTTCAGCTTTACAGAATCCTTCGTACTAACGTCAGCCTGATGAAAAGGCAAATAAGGAGCGATTTCATACCGGTCAGGTTGTCGAGAACATCAGAGCCCCAGTCCCCTCGTATGATGGAGGAAAGGATGTTTTCAAAGTTGTGAACATCTTTGGAGGAAACTAGACGGTCCCTGAACAGCCTCCGGGCCTCGTATGCCACCACCTCCAAGATGCTGTCTGTCAAATTAGATTGAGCTAAAAAGAGAAACATGGATGCACACACAAGTAATTAATGTTCAACAGGATAACTGCGCACATATAGACAAACTATGATTAATAATTCTAGCTTAAATACTAAATTGTATCACAGTTGGTGGTTTAATTACTGAATAAGAGACAGGTGAGGCAGAGGCAATTAAGGACTTCTATTGGCTATAAAAAACTAAATCACAAACATAACACAGCTGCTGTAGGTAACCAAAACTAACAAATATGTAACTAAAATACTGCTACTATATACTGTACATCAGTCAGCCATAAGACTATGACCACATGCCTGCCCTAATTAGATCCTTCTTATGCTGTTAAAACAGCTCTGTCCATTTAAAGCATGGAGACATAGCATCTGTGGGATGTTAGCAAAAGTTCCTTAGGCCTGTGCATTGTGGGGTCTCTATGGATTAGGCTTAACAACTTATGTCATCAAATTTAATTTGGATTTGTTATCTAAAATGTTTATTGGCCAAATGAACGACTCAGTCATTGTTGTGGTCTGGGAGATCTTTAGATTAATAAAATAAACACTAACATTATTACAGAAGGGATGCTTTTGACATAACAGATGATGCCATGTCTGCAAAAATGAGTAAGCAGCAAAAATAACATTCAAGTGAATGCCAGAACTTTGTTCCAGCTGAACATGGCATAATAACAAGATGAACAATTTCTCACATTGCCTGTCAGTGGATACAGTTATTTTGGCTATATGGGTTATCTAAAACTCCAAAATTAGAGAAGTAAGTACAGTCCAACTCACATTAATAAACACAGTCACAACATTATTACAAAAGGGAGGAAGTTTTGACATACCAAGAAGAAGGCAAGTGGCAAGGCAGGGAATAAGGAGGAATAGGAAGAAAAGGTCAACCAAGAAATCATGAGCTTAGAGAGCAGTTCCTCTATTGACATGTTTAATTAAAATAAATGATTGGACTCTATCACAGCAGGAACACATTGCAGACTGAGGAAAAAGACTGACAGAGAGAGAAAAGATGAAAGGACAGCAGAGGGAGGGGAAGATAAAAGGAGGAGAGCAAGACGAGTGACAGAGAAGGAACCACAGCAGAGACCAGAGGAAGACAGACAGAAAAGAATTAAGTACAAGGAGAAAGCTGGAAACAGCTGAGTAAAAACATGAAAATGAAGCCATATGGCACTTTTTTTGGATTCAGGGATCAAAACTGAAGTATTGATGCTTTGTGTTACTCAGCTGAACATTTTCCCAAGGACTATAGGAAGTTAATAGAACGAGTCATTAAATTCAACTTGTCTTGTTTACAAATTGCTGTTTTTCTAAAAAAGGAGTATAAAACCCTCTACAAACCATTAATCAGCTGATATGAGTTTTCATTTTATGAGAAATAAAACATGGCTTGACACTTATTTTGTGGTTCATAACAAATGCTGCTCTAAAGCTACGGTATACATTTTCTTTTTTTCTTTTTTATTTATTTATTTTTTTACATTTATACACCAACAAAAAAAACTTTTTCAGTTCAAGTTTCCAGTAAGTACTTATTTTAAGCTCAGAGGGTTACAACAACTTCATAGAGCTGCATCTTCTATTACCTCTCAGGGCAGAAACCAGGAAGCTTTTACATAATATAAGGAAGATTTTAAACTGTGTATTCCTAGTTGTGTTGAAAATGTTGAAATGTTTTTTTACAATCAGTCATACCATGACATATTTTTATCCACACTTGCTCCAGATACCACAACCCTAATCCTAACTCCACAAAATGTATTTACAAGGCAGTAAGTGTTTTGCTGCTTTAAAAGACTGTTAAATTATTAACCTCACCAGATAAGCGCAAAAGCATTTACATTTTCACTAAAGTTAGTTTCTGATTCTGATTTTAGTTACCTGAAGTAAGGTCATATCGCAGGAGGCTGAGGACCCATTCTGTGAGGATGCAGGGGGTAAACAGGTAATGACTGTGGTCATCCACTGTAAACTTTGTTTTGACCTAAATGAAGAAAAATGTTCAAGTAGCATGGTAAAAGACACACATTATTAGCATACTTTTTATTATTATAATCATTGCTAAACATTTTTGCATCAATAAACCTTCAGCCTTTAATAATTAAATTTTACCCATAGTACTTAACACAAAAGAACTGACATTTTGCCAGTAAGTTTCATGTTTAAGAAATTTAAATAGGAGTATATTTTCTGTGTTGCATTGTTAGTGAAGAGTTAGTAATAAATGTAACTACTTTATACTTTCGTATATAAATAGTCTAAAATGTAGATTGTAGATGTGCATTTACAAACAAGGCAAAAAATTAAAAACCTCAAAATCCAAAAACATTTGTTTATAGGAAACAAAAAAACGTAAGCTCGTATGTACTTAATTTATTTGTGATAGCATTCATGATTCAGTGCGTTCTGTTTTGCTTACAGTAAATTGTCTGTATCTCAGGAGAAAAACAAAAATTATAAATGCACATATAGCCACAAAGAAATCCTGCACCTGTTCATAGAGCTGCACGAAAAACCCAGCCAGCTGGTGAATTTTCCCTGTAGTGGCCCAGGCTGCTTGGCTACCCAGGCTATGCTGGAGAACTGGTTGCAGGTAAGCGGAGTAGATTGTCTGCAGCTGCTCTCTGTCTGGATAGCTAAAGGAATGGTGTAAGAGGGAGGAAAAATAGGAAAAAAAAGGAATCTGATTTAACACGAGAAAAAAAATTAAAATAAGAAATAGACATGCAGCCAAATTATTGCTATTAATTTTTATGGCGACTTACTCTATGGTACAGATGCGTACAATTGAGGAGAAACGGGAGGTGAGCGCATGGCTGCCAACAGCACCTCCTGTTGACATGGAGGCCACCACCTGAATGTTTTCAAGACTCACCCACTCTAGATTTTCATCATAAAATCCTTTGTATGTCAACACCTAGAACAAAAATGAAGAAAAGTTACATTAAAAATCATGACAGTGTGATGATTTTGTCATGACAAAAACTCATTTTGGCTCCAATGTATCTGTAGCTTTGTTTAATAATCCTATTAACCTGCTGAAGGAAGGCAGTGAGGTTGCTCGTCCCCCATTTGTCCGGTTTGGGTAAGTTGATGTCTTTTAAATAAAGAACTAGACTCTCACAGTCCTTTGGTCTGAACACTCGGCCAGTGTTTGAGCTGAGCAACAAGCAAGTCTGGCTGAGCTTCTGTAGGACGTGGCGTGATGAAGTCTGAGCACTGCAGTGAACTACAGCGACTTGAGTGGAACGAAGGCGAGAAAAGGCGTAGCGCAGGAGCATGCTAAACAGTGGGAGTATAGAGAAAAAAAGAAAAAAAGGGAGGTTAAACATACACAGTGTTTGTATATTATAAGATATGACGTAACACTGAGAAAACATTTCAGATAAATGAATAACAGCTTTGACATTTACACAAGAACAGAGCCGAACAATACAGAAGGAGGAAATGTGTTTGTGCTGATTTTAATAAAATAACAGCTTTGGATCTTGGGGAGAATACTTGAAATAGCAGACCCAAAGGCATTTATATAAATATTGAGGATGCAAAAAAAAGAATTAGAAATATGGGTTTTGATGCACGCTTGTTCGCTCGTACTGTCTGTAAATAAATTGCATGTTGTTTTGTCAAAGGAATGAGATGGCAAGCCCAGTGCCCTCACTGGCATAGTGACCTTTTAGACAAAGTGACACAAGACGAAAGAAAAGACGGAGAATCAACTCAAGTGTTAAAGGCAAACTGAGTGACCATTGTTCTTCAAGTCTCTGAGGAGGGAGGCAATTACTTCTGAGGCAGCAACTCCCAGTGTGTACACACACACACACACACACACACACACACACACACACACACAC